TGTACTGTACTGAGTCCGTCAATATTACCTTATCTTTGTATCCTTGTGATTAGCCCACAGTGTGGTCCATTTTCTTCAAGTGAGTAAATTACCAAGGTTAAAATAAAAATTTTCAGAAACATCCACTAAAATCAACATCTTGCTTGATCATTGTTAAACCTAGCATGTCCTGACCAGCTTTATGTTCTCTCAACATTAAAGAAAAAAAAAAACAAAAAAACAAAAAAAACCAAACCAGACAAGGAATAAAAGAACCACATCAAACTCCTACATGAACCACCTGAGATGTTGACTTTCTTACAATGCAACTGCATAATTTGGGATCATCACATGGACCAAATGTTGGCTGTAATCTTCTAGCACAAGACCAGCTCCTAAAGAGGCAGGGAGGAACACTTCCCTGGAAGCAGAACACAAGACTGTCACCACATGATCAGGATAGAAACATATTGCAGACCTTTCTTTTCAGAATTATGAGCCCATTTGCTTCCATTTATCTTTGTCACTAAAATTTCCTTTCCCTCTTCCGCCATTGAGTTCTCCAGGGTCGTGGCTCCCTTCAACATATCTGCTGGCCTCTCCCACCCTGCAGCTGCATCCCGAGTGACTTGGTCAGCCAGGGAAAACTGGTTCCATAGCGTATTTGGCAGTTAATTGATGGTGAACAGATCCTTCCACTGGAAGCAAAAGGTAGCCATAACCACAGCCAGTATCACCAGTTTCACCTGCAATACTGTGTTTGTTATTTAGCAGTTTATAAAATAAAAGACTAAGAATTAAATAATACTAATTTATAGTTTAACTGAAACGTTCAGATCCTTCCAAACCGCATTTTCAAAATAACTAATTCATTCATCTCAACTATGAAAATGTATTTATTCTGTACAAAGATCATTTGTGCATGCCCCCTTTGGAGATGGACAATATAAGAAATTGAAGCAAAGAAAAATAAATATCCATGTGAGGATTTAGTAAAGTATCTGTGTAATTTACATTCATACTCGAGCTTCTATCTGAAACAGCCTTCCAATGCAGACAGAACTATTTCTCAGCTTTTGGTAATGAAGCTTTGCATGAACGGTGGCTTGATTTAGCTGGTTGCTTACAGTATATGTCAATTCCTTACAGATCACCTCATTTCCAACATTATACTTCCAAACAGTGTGCCTTGTTACCTAAAGCAATGTTGTAGGGAAAAGAAGTGAACCTGATAATTGAGGAAGAGGCCCTTCAGCCTGGCTGTAATTTAAGTCCTGTATACCCTGGGCAGGAAAGAATGTGATACTCATGACAAGAACCACCACTAACACCAACAGGTACCAATGGCAAGCACAGAAAATAGATTATTGCTGACAATTCTACAATGTCCCCTTGTATTGCATTCAAATTGTAACAGAGCACATGTATGCAACACAGTGTGTGCACATATATGCTAAATTACTCAAAGCTCTATCATTTGTCACCCATCCATGATGCACTGAGCTCAGATAGGAGCTCCATGACTTGATAAAGATGGTAGAACTTCAGCAGTCTTCAGCAGGAAGCAATGGGAGATGGGAGATGCAAAGATTACAATAGCACAGAGCCCCCAGACACCAAGCTACCACACAGAAGGAAAAAGAATCCTAAGGAAGCCACCATACCAAAGACACAACGGTAGTGTAAGCAGGATCATACCTGCACGTCATGACCTGCTCTTTGCTTTATCAAGCCTACTCTCAGGTAAGGAATTTAAGAAATGCATGCCACTATAGGTCCTGTGAGAGCTCACACACCCATCAGATGATCTGATCTGCACAAAACAGACTTTGGTAGGCATTGCATTCAGAAGCAGCAGTATCCTCTGCTGACAAACTGGTTTAAGGTATCAGTTTTTCTTGAGCCTGTCTGAAGATCTTTTCCAGACTGCAACCCACTAAGAGAAAGACCCTAGAAGTTGCTCACAAATCTCTGAGGAAGCGCAAACCTCCTGAAACAGAAGAGTTTTTGACACTGCCCTGTGCCTCACCCAGAGCCAGACTGCTCTGCAGATCACTCCTAGTGCTGGTTTAGCAAAACCATTTCCTAGAGATGCACGGAACACACCTCTAGGGAAGGCTGCAGATATCCAGGGCATGAAACAGACCTCATTCATTTTGCAATAAAGCTCACTGATGACTAAAAACAACAGCTCAGAGGAGGAAAGTTGACAGCATGAGGAAAGTTGACCAGCTAGTCAACACATTTATTACCCTAATGAGCCAGTAATTCTTGGTGCACAAGTGCAATAATTCTTAATCAGAGCAAAAGTTCCCTGCAGCTGACTATACTGCTTCAACCGGTGCCCAGCAGAAAAGAGAAAAAGGGAAAACAAAGACATCCTTGACTAAACTCCTTCCAGTTTCTAGCAGCCAGCAGTTTAAATGTATTTACTGTAGAACAGATATTCCTTAAAGAAGAAACACTAAAGTTGAGGTCCATCACAAATCAAGCAGATTTTTTTTTCCTCCACAGGCAACTGCATGGGGGAATAAACCCTAATTTCCTTCACATTTGGTAACATTTCTCAAAGAACTGGGATGATCATAAAAATCTTCTTCAGAATTTTGACTGGATCCAATATGAATCAGTAGACACCCTAATTGTAGTTAACACTCTTTTCAGGAAAAATAACGACATCTATTCCTCCTTAACAGAGAAGAAGACCCCACACAAGTCAGTGATGGAGGCCTCTAGTCATCCTAGATGAAGTAAAGGAGTCCCAGCTCCCCACCATAAACACAGGTACCCCCTCAACACCAGCAGCAGGCAGAGGGCACATCCCCCATCAATAGCAGATGAGAAAAATCTATGACTTATCACTCCTCTTCGCTTTTGAAGAGGGTTGGAACGGGGAACCAGGAACAGATGCTTCCCTGCCAATAAAGCCAGGATGATGAAGAGAAGTGGTAGGGACTGCAAACCATACAGCTGTGCCATGCCTGTGCGCAGCAATCAGTCATTACCATCAATAAAGTCAAGCTCTTTCAGCCCAGCACTGACAAACTACCTCCAGCAGACATTCTTTACCATTCAAAGCTTACTGGTACCTACCATGGCAATGGGCAAGCTTTGTCACCACCTTCTTAAGCCTCGAAGGCAGACATTTGCTCAAGCAAAAAAACAAGAGAGGATTTATCCTGGGAGTGGATCATGGTTTACATATGAGAGAAGAAAAATGCCAATTAACTACTAAAATTGCCCTGGGAAAGGAACAAAGTCAGGATAAAGTTCTATTGTTAAATGCTAGAGAATCAGATTTCATTCTGCTTTATCTCATCAAGCAGTGAACAAAAGGGCGGGGAACAGTGCAATAAAATACTTTCACACATTTTATGGAAGTAAGATATGAAAACCAAACATTGTTTCAAGTGACATCTCCCAAGAAAATAAAAAAACTGAAAAGAGTTCCACAGTGAGTGACTAAAGAAAGAGTTTCTTAAAGTGACACCAAAGATGATGAACACGCAGCTTTGCCATAAGTAAATACAACAGAAGGCAATCCAACTCCTTGGTGGAAATAACAAACCTTACCCACTTCCACACTGCTGTGAAGTGAAAACAGAAGTAACAGAGCAGGCAGATAACCATTTAAGCTAGAGACTACACAGACCTCTGTCAGGTCTCTGAACTGGCATAACAGACCACTGTACAGGACTAGAAATTAATCCAAAACTATCAGCACACACCAGTGAAGAAGCCACACACTAACAAAAAAGTTACAAAGGCTGTAAAGATGTTTCATTCTACAAAGCAAAACCATGGCCCAACTCCTGTTACCTCCTTTGCTTGCAGCTCATTATAACCTCATTCCTTCCATTACCAGTTTCAGAATATAAATTAGCAAAAAAGAAGTACCAAGTATAACTAGTATTTCTACTTTCTCTGAAGAGAACTTTCTCTCTCAGTTCCAACTTCTAAGTTTCCTAAGTCTATAAAATTATAACACAATTCTTATATAATTACATTATCTTCCCAAAGGGTTAATTACAGAAGTGACACTTGTTACTAAACTGAATAAAGAGGGGGTGAAGAGTCTACATTCCACTTTGAGAAACACCAAGGCAAAAAAGTTTTTACTTAGTATTAAAAGCAGCGCATTCACATACTACCACATAATTAGGATAGGCAGAATATCCTGTTGATAGTATGTGAAAACCAAAAAGTGAACAAACTACACCAAGGTGTCAAAGTTAGTAAAAAAAAACTGCAAGAGGGAAAGGAGAAAGGTGTGTAGGGCATGCAGGTAGGAAAGACTTCATTACTGATATGGCAGTTTCCTCTTTAAAAAAGAAACATTTTTATCCTGTTAAATTTAGATTAGAAAATGGAGTATTTCAATGCACCATGCTAAAATTAACTACATCAACATTTGCATGCCCGTTCTAATACAAAAATTGACCTCTTGAATAGAAATATCTATTTAAATTAATAATAAATAAAAAGAGAAACATACTAACTTTGGCCTAAAATTGATGCCACCTTATATAAAAAAGTAGTTTCCTAAAGAAATATGGCCAAAATTTCAACTTTATAAATATTTTTGCTTGCTTTAGAGTTTTAAATTGCAAATAATTTCCTATAAGAAATAGTACAATTAAAAAATATCTTGAAGGGGAATGTCTATATATATATATAAGCTATGTTATAAACATATATGACATCACTGAGAGCAGTTGTGCTTATGAATTAATGCTACACAGCCTGTAAAACTGTGGAAAATATTTAAACAGCTAAAATAAACCAAATAAAACTATAAATAATACAATATTGGTTTTAAAATGTGCAATCATAAATAAAAAGTCTGACAAAAAATAAGAAAAACAAGTGGTTATTGCACAGATATAATTCTGGTGCTATAAAAGCAAGATCTGTGATGAAAGTATTTTCACCTCATTCTGAAAGGCAGCCATTGATGCCAGAGTACATTTAATATAAATGAAAACAAAACTTAGCAGATTTAAAAACAATACCCATGATGCTAAGCACTGAGACAACACTCTGTAAATCAGTTTATTTCCCATGTAGTGGACAAATCCAGTCAGTGTAATGATTTTTCTGCATGTTGAATAGTAAAATCACACTGTTTTCCCATAAGAAATGTTTTCACTGTGAGAATAAGGGTCTTGCAATACTCTTTAAAGCTTTCAATTCAAAGGTTAATTCTAAAAATTTGGAACTCTAACATCAGGGTCCTTTGCCATTAATAACAACAATGACACTACAAGTGGCTGAAGAGCAGTTATTTGTGGAAGTAGAACAGTTCAACAGCTCAGTTAAGGAAAAGAGGTTTAGTGCACTTTGCTCATTTGAGCCAACATGCTACATTGCCCTTTTTGCGTACAAAGTGGACTCAGATTTCCACTGTAAGAAAGAAATGAGTTGGCAAGCAAAACGCTGTGTCGAGCTGCCCTTTTTTTCTTAGACATTTTAAGACAGAAGCTCTGCAAGACATTACACAATTTTTCACTTTTATTATTAATTGAGAAAGTCTGATTTATATCATTGTCACATTGCTAGTCAGAAATGTTTCAGTGATGAAAGTAAATGCTGGGTCAACCCAACACCTCATTCTACAACATCTGTTTACAGACAAATTATAGTGATTTTCAACACACCTAACAAAACATTCTTAGCTTCCTTCAGAGGAAAGTCCCATCATTCGTTCTCTATTGGGCATGTTATTACATAAATTAGAATTATTTTTTTTTGGATAACACATCCCCAGTCTCCATGAGGAAAAAACGGGCTTCTACAGGTGTTACATAAGTCTTCATACATCATCATCATCTGATGTATCACTGCTGCTCGTCTCAGAGTCCTCATTCTCCAGAGCAGGTTTGAAAGTGTTGTTTTTCCAGGGGCTAAATTTAAAATTACAGATGAGGCCATTTTTCAAAATGCCATTTTTCCGAAGGCCATTTTTTTGTAACTGAAATGTGAAAACATTACATATTTAGAGAAAGAAAAAGCCAAACATAACAATCTGTTGTAATTCAACATTCTCTACATCTTCATTCCTGCGCTACACTGGATCCACAGCACTACCTTTTCATATACACACAAAAAAGAGAACTCCCCTGAGCACCTTTACTTCTAGGTCAGCCACCTGTATTCAAGTACTTCCAACTGTGCTAAACTCCTGCAATCAACAAGAGTTCACCCACTTCCCCACCCACCCTGCCCCAGAGATGCCTCCTCCGAAATGGTCTCTCCTGCATTGCAGTCCCCTCTCCCACAGCGCTGCAAAAACCTGTGCTAAGAAGGGCAGGATCTGCAATACGGAAGGGGCCCAGAAGAGGAGCAGCAGTGAGGGATGAGTATCCCACTCTGTCTACCTGATGTCATTGGAAAGTAAAAGACACTGAAGAGAAAGTAAACAACTGATTCTACAACAAGAAAGGAATTACTGCATTTGCACACATAATGCAGAAGGTGGGTAATAAGACAAGTATGTGTGTAATTAGACTTATGGAAATATCAAATGTTCGGGTTTAACACCACACACGATTCTCCTTTCCAGCCCTACTCACTGACCCCACCAGGTATACTCAACACTGCTAATAAAAATAAACAATTAAGAAAAAATCCAGTTTAGATTGCCCTTTCATACGTTGTTACTAATGAATTAAATGTCTCTCGATTCCCAGGAAAGAAAATGAAGATTTTGGAGTACTCAAGGAAACTGCCTTGAAAGAAGATTCTTTTTCTTTAGGCTAAGTTGAGGAGCTGGAAAGCCTGTGCAATTCTACTACTAGCAATGCTGAAACCGCTCAGAAGCACTCCCTTACCCTTCCCTTGATATTTTGTGAATAGTCCTTAGGTACAGTCAGCACTGGCACCCTGTGTTTTTAAAGCAACTTTACTTCCAAAAGCACAGGACTGAAATGATACTAGAAGAGCAACATCACAAACCATCAAAATTACTGCAGATCCTCCTGAAAGGTAGGCATTTAGGGTAGCCAACCACAAGTTTACAATGCAACATTAAGTTAGTGTTACCTGTTCACTAATGACTTGGAACTCCCTCATCTCATCCTCTGTTAGTGGGGCACATGTCTCATCATTTTCACTGTCTTCCTGCCAGCCCATCTCCTTTAACAATCTTTAAATTAAAGAGGACAACATTAGGTAATTTACTACACACACTCATTCAACGTCTGCCTATATAAATGTCTAAAGACCTGTAATAAATGCATTGATTAATCAGTTAGTTATTTTTTTAAACAAACCCTTACATAAAAGCAGGTTCCAAGCTTTGGGCAAAGGACACAAGTTGAGTTCTCAGGTCCCTCACAGATGACCCTGTTTTACCACTACATGTGGTGAAAACTGTACATTCATTCCAAGGTACTTTTTCACCTGTGTCAGGTGGAAAAGTAAGAATGTATTTCCTTAGCATAACTTAAAACTGTTAGTGGAGCAGCAGTGTATCCCCTTGAGAACAGTATGAAAAGATAAAGACTCACACTGAGGCAATCTACAGCTTTTCCTGGATAACAGAGCAGTCATGAAGAGCACTGGTGGTGAGGGTACCAATTCAGGATGAAATGGCCTCATATAATTTCTTTTTTATAGCACATAATAATGTCAAGAGTTGCATCAGGCTTCCTTACAACTGAGTCTCAGCTAACAGCATATGCTGATATTTCAGCACAGACTACAACTAAGATTCTTGCCAGGATTTTCCCTGCAATGGAGAGCAGAGTAATACCACGGTAATTTGAACAGTCTGAATTTGAATTTGAAGAGTCTGGCAAGAATACTCTTAAACATACTAATACCCGCTATAGCAGAAGGAATTCTACCTGAAAGCCAATGTGGTTTCAGAGCCAACTGGAGTACCATAGACATGGTATTTGTTCTCAGACAACTGAAAGAGGAAGTGTCGGGAACAGAACAAAGGTCTCTAAGTAACCCTCGTTGAGCTCACCAAGGCTTTTGATACTGTGAGCAGAAAAGGTCTATGGCAGATTTTGGAACGTTTAGGTTGTCCCCTCAAGTTCCTCAAAATGATCATCTCACTTCATGAGGATCAGCACGGCCAACTCAGTTATGGCAATGCACTTTCTGAGCCCTTTCTAATTACTAATGGTGTGATACAAGGCTGCGTTCTCGCTCTTTTTCAGCATGATGCTCCAAAGGGCCACTGCAGACTTCGATGATCAGGACGGTATCTACATTCTATATCGTACTGATGGAAGCTTTTTCAACCTCAGGCAACTGAAGGCCCACACCAAGACCTTAAACCATCTTGTCCGGGAGCTGCTTTATGCTGATGACGCCGCCCTTGTTGCCCACACAGAAGCAGCTCTGCAGCGTTTAACATCCTGCTTTGCAGATGCTGCTGAGCTCTTTGGGCTGGAAGTCAGTTTAAAGAAAACAGAAGTTCTCTACCAACCTGCACCTCAGGAAGTCCCCCATCATCTCCATATCACCATTGGCCAATCAGAGCTCAAATCAGTCCAGCAGTTTAATTACCTAGGTAGCCTCATCTCCTCGGACGGTAAGATTGATGGAGAGATAGACAACAGGTTAGCAAAGGCATATAGTGCTTTCGGAAAACTCCACAAAAGAGTTTGGTGAAATAAACACCTGAAGAAAAGTACAAAGATCAGTGTTTACAGAGCTATAGTGTTGTCTACTCTTTTATATGGATCTGAATCATGGGTCATCTACCGCCACCACCTGTGTCTCTTAGAATGCTTCCATCAACGCTGCCTCCGTACAATCCTAAACATCCACTGGTCAGATGATGTGACCAATACATCTGTTCTAGAACAAGCAGCAGTCACAAGTATTGAGGCCATGTTGCTGAGAACACAGCTGCGTTGGGCAGGGCACATCTCAAGGATGAAGGATCATCGCCTCCCTAAGATCTTGCTTTATGGTGAACTTGCCACTGGCTGCTGCAAGAGAGGAGCCCCGAAGAGAAGATACAAGGACTCCCTGAAACAACATCTCAGCCTTGACCAGATTGATCACCATAACTGGTCTACTCTGGCCTCCAATCGGGAGGTCTGGAGACACACCATCTATAACACTGCTGATGCCTTTGAGAAAGCACGCAGGATCACTCTTGAGGAGAAAAGACAATGCAGAAAGAATCGTGGCCTGCAGAATTTACCATCTAAGGAGTCTTTCTGCTGTGCCTTTTGCAATCGGACATGTCTATCTCGTATTGGCCTTTTTAGCCACCAGCGCGCTTGTAACAAACGTGGGTAGAGACGTTTCCCAAATCTTCGTTCGCGAAGCCCAGCCATGATAACTAATATTGAATTTTGGGATGAGGGGAGGAAATGAAACAAGAAAGATTCCTCTTGTAACTAAGTTTGAGATATCCAAAGATACAATAATCAGTGTATTTTAGCTAGTACCAAAAGGACAGAAGTATCTGAGCAGGAATAAGATGGTTTTACATGTGAAGATGCTGTGAAAACAGGGGCTACCTGAGGGTGAAGACACCATTACATTTAACAACGGTGATATTAAGTTTGATTGCCGCAAAGTTTTTGGCAAAAGGATTAGCACCTTCTTCAGGCAAACCAGGCATCTGTTGACCTTAAACGTTAAGGGAGATTAAAGCTATTTCACAAAAAATAAAGAGATTTCTAAAACATATGCCAGAACGGCATTCTCATACTCATGAGGAATAAGAGGAAATGGAAGTTTCTTCTGCAGTTACTACAAAAGGGAGAGTTCTTTAGTCCAATGTACACATAGACTATCACAAAAAAGAGAAAGATCTGTCCAATTAGTCACTGCAACTCTGTAGTTGCCAAAAACCGTAAGAATCTGACAGAGCTCATGACAAGCTCATCTCCAGACTGAGTTTTTTCCAGCAACATCATTCTCATCTCTATCAATCACTAGTGCAGCTACTTTAATAACAGAATTGTTTCAATCCTTTTTGTGAAGTTACTTGCTCACCATCCAGTGCACTGTCTTGTGATATCACTAACAGTGTCAACCAGTCAGCCACAGAAATAATTCATTACTTTAATTATGACAACAAACTCAACAGAGCTTTACATAACATGCAGCATTTAAAGTATTATTAATATAAACGGCAATTACACACATTGTTCCTCCTAAACACATTTAGATCGAAATCAGAGGGATGAAGTCACTATGCAGTTTGCCTTTTTCTTTATACAGAAATACATCAAATTTTTAGTAAAGCAACTTTATGCAAGTCTAATAGAAACAAAGTATATTACATGTTAAATTGGTACATGTCTAAAAGATAAATCTGACATTACTCATGAAACATTTTGTGTTCTCAGTTTTCAGATTCTGACTTCTAAACTAGTAAAAATTTATGAACATGCTCACTTACCATGAAGGAACCCACTTTATATAATGAAATACATACCTATGCTCTGCCTCAAGTGAGCTTGAAAGAACATTTGCCTGAGGGAAAGTTGAAGACTGAATGATCTGTTGAGGTGTAATTGAAGCATTGCCATTCTCCTGTGGAATTTCATTTTCAAAGTTTCTGTTTATATCTCTCTCATGATGACTGTTGCTGTTACGCAAGTTAAAGGACTCATCATCCTGTTAAAAATTATACAACATTACAAAGTTTAAAAGCAAATTTCATCCACAAGTACATATCCAGAAGTGCTGTAATTCCATTTAAATTAAAGGAAGTTTAAACACAGAGACTCTAAACTACTTCGGGGGTAATTCTGTTCATACAGAACTAGAGTTTGCAATACCTGCATACTATGGAAATCTTACAGTATGCTACTGATCAAGTAATGTAGAAAACAACTTCCATGCTTTTTCTCAAACATCTTTCTGCAAAGTTTCAAACATACCTTAGAAGTCAAACTTGCTTAAGCTGCCTTTCATACTTACAGAAATAACAGGCTATTGTATGTTGAACTTACAAACAACGTTCCTAATTAAATACCAGAGCCATGTGTGTCAGGAAAAGTCTGAAAGCAAAAGAACTCTCAAGTTTACTTAGTGTAAGGGGCAGGTCACACCTGCAATATGGCACCAGCATTCTCTGCCATGATTTCAGAAAGACTGTATATTACTCTTCAAATTCAGACAACTTCCCCTACACACGTACACTCACCCTAGCTTCTCGGGCTGTTGTGAACAGCAAATGTAAATTACTAGCCATGAAACAGGAGTTAAAGAAAATTTATTTAGAAAGCAGACTGTTCAGGTTCAGTCAAGGATTAAAAGGTCTTCAACCTATAAAACAGAAATGTCTCTTTTTTCCTCTACTCATTCAGCAACACATGACTTTTATTTATTAATGAGCCAAATAGCCTCAGAAGTCTTACCAACTGTAAAAGCAAAGAGTATGATCATTATTTAGTAACACCCTTTCAACAACAAAATCCCCAAATGGGGCATAAAACAGCATTATCCACAGCAGGATACAATCATGCAATTCAGTGAATTCTGCATTTGTAAGAAACCATACTTCAGAGTCCAGAATCAAGACTGTCATCATTTCCTTCCCACTCACAGTGTTGTCTGCTTTCAGAAATTTTAGAATGCTCAGCAAGAAATTGCTAAGAACACACATCCTAGTAAACACACATTCAGCTGTTACATCATATGCCTGAAGAATGCATCTCATACTATCAAGAAAAATACATTAAAATATTAAATTTTTATAAATAAAAATTTTAATATATAGGGGATAATTGTTTCTTCTAAGCATGATTCAGCAGATGAGTATGATTTGCCACATTATTTCAAAATTCTGAATCTCAGGACGGTATTTCCCAGTATCTTTTTAATCTTAAATAAAAATATTTGTCTATTTCTTGAACACATGAACAACACTACCCCCATTACCCATCTCAGGGTGCTCAGCCCCCAAATGCGTAATGAAAAGATGCAGACCTATCTTAACTCACACATATAGCTAAGTTGTACAGTCCCATTACAACAAATTTTATTTTGCCTGAAATAGGATCAGGGTCAGACAAGTCAATCTTACTTTTATGAATTGTGCACTGGCACTGTTTCTTTTTTTCATATCTTGGAATCCTATTAAACATTCCTCAAAACCACTCATTTATCTGGCTGATTTGTATTTTATGATTTGGGGTTTTTTTAATAAAAGATTTTCAACCACTCATTTACAGCAAACATGCTTATAATCACCTCTGTCATGCTTTGAGAGTATCAAAATCCAATTCTCGTGTCCAAGCCCCCCTCCCACATCTCAGCCCAGTGTGGGATGGGTTTTCCAGACAACATACGAGACTCAAAATGGGGGGAAAGGATTATATTACAATGACTTTTCACATAAATATTACAATACATTATACACACAATCTCAACTATCTCTACCGTGATAAAGCAGTATTTACAATGGATCACATCTCTTCTCTCTCCAAATAAAAGTCCAGGAGGGAAGAAGGAAGAGATCTTTTCCACTCTCAGAGCAGCAGTCTCTCTAGGGCATCAGTCTCTCTCTCTCTCTCTCTTCTATGCAGCGGCTGTAGCTGGATCACGTTTTCCAAATACACATGAGGGGGATCTCCAAGCCCCTCTCGGCCCTTCGACTCCAAGAGAGGGTCTTTTTCTTTCGTGGGCTGCGTTTACCAGGACAAAGGTCGCTTCACTATGTCATATCAACAAAGTGCAGAAGCCTTCGTGACGGTCCTTATCTTCAAGGGATTCAAATTCCCTTACAGAGCTCCTGTGCTCTGATTTTCAGAGCAGCAGGGGGGCAAAGCCCTCCTCTGCATTCCTTTGGCCGTCCCAGTCCAGCTCCAGGAAGCCTGAGCTTCTCAGCTCCTCTCTGCAGTGCTGTAGCACTCCAAGACTCTTCTCAAGTAAGAGTCCATCATCCTCCTCCTCTCTAGGAGGTCTCAGAGGGGTTTGAGGAGTTTGTTTCAGTTCTTACCCAAATTTTCTCTCTCTTCAGACAACTCTGTGTCTCTCTGATTAGCTGCATGCTTGGTTTGCTGCTTCTTCAGTTCTTATCTCTTTCTGGCTCTCTGCCCCCGTTTCTCTGTACGCTGCTCCTGCTGCTGCTCATGGTGGAGAAGAAAAACTCCTAGCTTCTCAGCTACAGATACTTAGTCCAGTCTAACACTGTTCCAAGTCCCTCTAGCCCCCCAGCCGGGGGCTGGGGGGGCCCAGAGCCCCCATCAGGCTCCTGCCCCTTCTCCTTGTGGCTCTACAACATGGCTACTCTCCAACAACAACTACAACTATAACTACAACTCTTCTTTTCTGGTCTGGGTGATATGTTTATATTTTGCAGAAGTGTTCATTGGCTCAACCCCATGGGAAACCACCCCCTGGGGGTTTATCATTTCATAACTTCAGGGGGAAAACTTTTTCCCCCCCCACAACCTCATTCTGAATAATAAAATATTTATCTTCACTTGGACTAATAATAATTTGTTGGTGGCTAGTAACATTGACACAAATATTCTCTGGTGTCAGTCAAGCACTGCATCAATCAATTCAGATTGAAAGAAGCCTGATGAATATTAAATGCAGAGATTACAGACCTCCTTCCCACATAGGAAGTAAAAACTGGTGCTTTATTTATGCATATATTGGGCTATTGCTCCTATGATGAGGAGCAAGAACAGAGAACTTCTGTCTCTCTAAACACTAATTAGAAAGGAAATGGTTTGAGAAGCACAACCAAGTTTTTTCTGTTTTGCAGGGTAACTAACATCCAAGGTATGAAACACTGTCCTCCACTGTCTATGGGGCCAGATGGGATCCACACAAGAGTACTGAGGTAGCTGGCAGAAGTGCTCACTGAGCTACTTTCACTTATCACCAGAGAGGTGCCAGCTGACTGGAGGCTGGAAAACATGACACCTATCTGCAAGAAGGGTTTGGAAGGAGATTCTGGGGAACCATGGGCCTGTCACTCTGACCTTGGTAGCAAGGAAGGTCATGGAGCAGATCAGTGTGAGTGTTGTCATGTGGCACACACAGGACAACCAGAGGACAAAGCCCAGTCAGTGCTGTCCTACTTGACCAACCTGATACTCTCCTATGACCAGGTGTCTTGCTTAGTGGATGAAGAAGAGACTGTGGATGTTGTCTGCTTGGATTTTAATAAAGCTTTTGACATGGTTTCCCACAGCATTCTCCTAGAGAAGCTGGCAGTCCACAGCTTGGGAGAGGTGCACTCTTGTCTTGGTGGCCGGGCCCAGAGAGTGGAGGTGCATGGAGTTACACCCAGCCAGCAGCCAGTCACCAGTGGGGTTCTCCAGCGCTCAGTCTTGGGGCCAGTCCTGTTTAAAGTCTTTAGTAAGGATCTGGACAAAGGAACTGAGTGCACTGTCAGTTTGCAGATGACATCAAGTTGGGTGGGAGTATCAATCTGCTGAAGGGTAGGAAGGTTCTGCAGAGGGATCTGAATAGGCTGGGTTGATGGGCCAAGGCCAATGGTACAAAGTTCAACAAGGCCAAGTGTCAAGTCCAGACTTTGGGTCACAACAACCTCAGGCAGTGGGGCAGAATGGCTGGAAAACTACCCGGTGAAAAAGGACCTGGGGGTGCTGGTCAACAGTGGCTGAACATGATCCAGCAGCGTGACCAGGTGGCCAAGAAGGCCAACAGCATCCTGGCTTGGATCAGCAATAGTGTGGCCAGCAGGATCAGGGCAGTGATTGTCCCCCTGACTGGCCACTGGTGAGGCCACATCTCGAGTCCTGTATCCAGTTCTGGAGCCCTCACTATAAGAAAGACATTGAGGTGCTGGAGCAAGTCTAGAGAAGGGAAGCAGAGCTGGGGAAGGGCCAGAGCACAAGTCTTATAAGGAGTGGTTGAGGGAGCTGGAGTTGTTTATCCTGGAGAAAAGAAGGTTCAGAGGTGACCTTATCACTCTACAACTACCTGAAGGGAGATTGTGGCAAGGCCAAAGTCAGCCCCTTTTTCCAAGTAATGCACAATAGGACAAGAGGAAATGGCCTGAAGTTGTGTGGCTTCTGTGTCAACAGAGGTTCAGGTTGGGCATGAGGAAGAATTTTTTTCACAGGAAGGGTTGTCAAACATTGGAACTGGCTGCCCAGGGAAGTGGACGAGTCACCATCCCTGGACGTATTTAAAAGACATATAAATGTGGCACTTGGGGACATGGTGTACTGGTGGACTTGGCAGAGCTGGGTTAATGGTTGGACTCAATGATCTTAAAAGTCTTTTTTAACATAAATGAATCTATGATTAGGTTAGTTTGCTAAGCTTAATTTATTCTTTTTATTGTTGCTAAAGACACACACGAAGACACACACGAAGACACACACAAGTCATTAACATGCATTAACAGTTACTGCAGAAAGATAAAATTAACAGTTACTGCAGAAAGATAAAATGAAACTACTAAGCAGCACTAGAGGAAAATTAAATCCATCAAAATATAATTCCCTTCCCTCATTTACAGATCCAAGACCACAACTTAGGAGCTGCTTACAACAAAATAAAAAGTAGTTGACAGTTCGTCTGAAAACTACTATGGCTGGATCTACAATAGGCCTAACAAAACTACCTTCTGCACATCATGATTCTCATCTTCACGTTCCTCTTTCATTCTATCTCGTTTCAATGCCTTCAGAAATTCACTCTTCTTATCACTTCGCATTCTTGTCAATTTTGTTAAACGAGGCTGACCAGATTTGTCAATAGGGGATGAAGAATTTGACCGATTACACTAATGTAGGAAGTCAGAAAAAGAAAGAATGTTAGAATTTATTCATTTAGAAAACTTTTAGAATGAAAAACAAAGGCACCTGTAGTTTCAGGTTTCACATATATTCACAGTCAAAAGCAGAAGGGAGATTTGTATTTTGGTATACATAGTTTGTACATGTAAACCTCGAGATGCAAGTTTATGAAGCACTGCTAATGAATAGTGGACCTTCTGACCATGTAATATCATGCAGTTTTGAAATTTAAACCTAGTAGGTTATACTTCCTAAGGCAGGGGGGTTATTCCAAATTAAAACCACAAAGGAAACTGTGCAGTACTTAAAGGCCAGTGATGTGTCTTCCATCTTTCTCACACATTAACTTTCAAGAAAACATATTCAATATAATTCTGCATAAAACTTACTGACCACCCTAATATAGCCAAATTAAATGTTTTATAGATTTGATGAGAACTACAGATATTGCTTTACCTCTTTCACTGAATTTTGTGTTACAGTAAATGCCTTGAGAGTTGTTTTGAAAGGACTGAAACTGCCAACACCATATGCAGATTCGGGAGGAAACGCATTCCCAAGTTTATTTTCTTTTGCTTGGCTTTTCCACTGTGTGGGCTAAACAGAAATATAAACAGAAATTTAAAGAGTCATTCACCAGAAAAGAATTCTTTTCAGGAATCTTCAGAAAAATGATTAAGCACAAATCATAACTACAACATAAATGTAGTGCAAACATCTGTTTTCTTCTGCAAAAGAGGGTTTTATGAGCAATTCATCTGCTCACAAATACTGTTTACATAAAGACTAAAATTTCAAAACAATTAAGATCTTCATATTTGAGGTATTAAAAATGAAAATATAAGTCTTCAACAGCTGAAAGTATTCCTTTTAAATCCAGAATGTTAGATATAAGAACTAGTCCATTATATGCTCTTAAGAGCACAGAAAAATTCCTGAAACAAAAAATTATAGATGAACATGGAAATTTGCAATTGGAAAGAGACCAGAATGACACTGATAGGTTACCACATCATCTCTGCCTGTAACTGAGATAAATTCTGAAGGTATTACTATGCTGACTATACCTCTCCACTAGGTATCTCTTTTTTTTCTGTTACAATCATATATACAAAAGGCACTGTTATTCTGTTAGTTAAAAACATCATTTTAACTCTCACTTGTACAGCTCCTGCACTTCTCAAAAAGGGTGAGAAAAAAAAGAGGGATCCAATTACAGTATAGTTTAAAAAAGAGAAAAAGTTGTTTCTATTCACTTTCAGAGTGTGCTGCACTTAGCAAGAATTGAAAGCACGATAATCTAGGAACAGAGAGGAAGTAAGCATATTCAGACTTACAGCATGATTTTTCTCAGCATGTTTTTAATGCCACCAGTATCCAATACTCACCTTTGCAGGTGGAGTGACAGGCTTGGGGACTAATCCTTTATAAACACTTGTGCCACTTCCATTCCTCACTAGCTGTGAATGAAGATTTCCCACTGCTGGGAATCCAGATATACGCAGTTCTTTCGTATTACCCTTTTTAATGACCAGCATTCTCTGAGACCTAGATTTAGGATTCAAAGGATACTCTGGAAAAAAGGAAAAAAGACGTGTGTGTGTGTGTATGTGCATGTGTATACAGTCTTTCTAGTTTCTAGTTCATAAGGTACTGGACAGCCCTATGGTTCAGAGCAAACAGGCATAAATCAGAAACTTAATTCAGTATTAGTTCCAAAAAGAATACATTGTACAAACCTGGACAAACACAGGTTCTGTTCCATTTTCTACAACCATTATTTGTAAAATATTACATTTGGCAATGCAGGAACTGCACTTTTTGAAAGTCAAGATATTCTTCAAAGAAGCCAGATACACAGTTCTACAGAATCCTACACAGCAATTCTAAAATCAAGTTGTTGATACTTACCCAAACTTCAAAAGAGATCAGGCTTTCGTATTCCCCCTAAGGTTTCTAAAAGAATAACTACTTACATATTTATTAACAGGTCAGTTTAGAGCCAAATGCTCCACATGGAGGCTCTCTAAAACATGAGACAAGATGGGCACTACTGCAGACCATGTGAATGACTAGTTTCTCTAGCTTCACGCCTTAGATGGGTATAACAGCACATCTGAAGGTTACAACATTTCCATGTTCAGTGGAGCACTAATTAAGGGACATACAGTCAGCTGCCATACTAGAGAAACCGACATTTAGCATTTTTCAGGAACATCCATTAAAAACAGTTCTAAAGTTTTCAAAAAGTGAAAAAAAATACATGCACTCCAGTGCTTTGTTAAGAGCCTTTTCCAAGATTATCACCTCTCCCTGCAAGCAACTCTATCTCACAGACAGGGTTACTATATCCCTCATTTAAAAAACAACCCCTTATCTTAAAAGTGCATGTGACTTCAGCTTAGTTTAGCAGGTAGATGTTAAAGAACACTTGTCATAAGTGTTCGCTTCACTCTCATTAAACTTCATGACAAGACTTTTCACAGTACTTGCATGCTGCCATCACATACACAAATGGTAAAATGGAATCTAATAGAACCATAGATTTTTAGCAGGTATTACAAGGGATTGTAACATTCCTCTGTCCCGAATATTGTTTCCTTTAAAAGGGAATAACAGCAGACTTAATTCCAGTTTTTCAGTTACAAAACAAGGTTTTCAATAGCAGAGCTGAAAAGCTGTAACAAGCCACTGCATAATAGTAGCTTGCAAGTTGGACTAGACGAGCCTTGAAGGTCCCTTCCAAACCAAACCATTTCTACATATTTTTTCCCAACTTGGTTAGGAAAGAACTTAGTTATCATTGGTCTTTCATTGAAAGATATTGATTTTCACATGAAAGCTGCTAAACACACAAATCCAGAAAGCTGTTCAATTGTTTAGGATCCTGCAAAGGTACAGAGCAATTATATTGAGGGGTTGGCCTACATCTAATGTTACTTAACAGTGCAAAACATACTGGGAAAGTATGATAACAAGAATCAGCAAGTTAAAATACCATTTAAAATCTCAGTATTAGCAACAGTTTAAGGAATAGCCTTTATGTTTAATTAAAAGTATTTTTTTAAATAAAGAGAAGTGTTTTTATTTTAAGTACATTTATTACTTTAAAACCCCCGCAATCTAAACACCTTCTTAAGGGTAAACAACTGACTACATAGAGCCCATAGAACTGTAAAGTGATAGACAAATGTGCTCAAATAGAGATGAGAAAACAATTCTAGACTACAGTTCTGTCCAGTGCCTATCCTCAGGACTGGATTTGTTACAAATAATTCATAAACACAACCAACAACATTTGCTTCCAGAAAGAGACCTTAAATCTCGGCAAGCTAGTCTACCCTTCAAGCCTTCCCAGGTTTCTCTCCAAACTCTTCCAACACGTCTAATCATGCAGAAGCATTCTTTTACAAAGCCTTCAACTAACAATTACATCACTAGTTTAGGTGACCCACCTTCACTGGATTTCTTCTTGAAAATAAAGATAAATGTCCATATGAATTCTTAACATCTTTACAAAAAGATGTATATTTGTTCTAGGAAAGAATCCTAGTTGTGGCTGCCTCTACAGACCAACTGACTGATCCTCAACTAGAAGTGATACCTCTTTCACAAAAAGATACCTACGTTGTAAAAATATTAGTTTTCTCAATTTCAAACACTACCTCTATAATTCTAAAATAAGGCCTGTGTTTCAAATAAAACTGCTCCAGATCTCCACTACCTTTTTGCACTTAAAAACATCAAAAATACTCACCCCACACACCTGCAGCTAAAGATTTAATCTGGTTTGGTTCCTTCTCATATTCAGGGTTTAAAGATGGCTGAAAGAAAGTTTTATCATTGTTAAAAAAAATAGGTCTTGAATTCTGGGATGAATGAAATACAGAATCAGGGTAACACCGGCAGTATGACCTCTGCTGACAAAGATGTTTAAATGGAGACAGACTAGACACATCACTCTGTGATCCAAACAGGTCAGTGCTCGCTCATTTCTCCAACCAAACACCTCAAGCAGCAGTCAATACCATTACATGAACTGCCCAGAGAAAGCAAAAAACAATGTATGTTTCTTCAAAGAGAAAGAGCACCCTCTCCCTTACATCCTACATTCTAGGTTGAAGCATGGGATCCCAAAAGGCCATTGGCATAAAGATCACTTTGTTACTACTTCAGATTTCCAGTAAGGTAACTGTGTAGGATTTAATACATACACATACCACAGTAAACTGGAATTCAACTGTAGTTTCACGTAAATACACAAGTAATAATAATGATAAAAACTGGATACAAAATGAGAAACATGTTAATGGAAAAATGACTAACACCCTCTTACCAGGGAAAGGGTTGATCCCTTATATGATGATCTGAAATCAGTTATATCTCATGACGTAGATTGAAATGGGGAAAATGGTAATTGCAGAGAAAATGTAACCTTGTTTATCATAATTACAAATAACTTACAAAATCCTCAGCCTCAAACTGGTTGGGTACTTCTTTGTCTTCCTTTTTGCGGGTTTCATTATCAGGTACACTGATATTGTCATGCAGTCCTTGCCCTTTTCCACAATGGAAAGCGCTGGTACGAGTACAGGAACTTCCGCCATGGTATCCCCCACGATGGTTTATATTTTCTGGACCATTTCTGACTTGGGAACGCCAATCACTCCTCTCTTTTCTCCCAAAATGCCCTTAGATATTTAAATTTTAAAGACATGTAATTACGAACAATTTTATAAGAACTTTCTACTTTTGCATAATTCTTAAAGAAGCTAAGTCAGCAGCTCTATATTCTGGGATATGACAGCATAATAAACAAGTTTTCATTGACATAAACAGCAGGGAAGAATTTACAAAACAGTACCAGAGAAAGAGGATAGTCAGCCAACATTAAGACAAGTCAGCCTCCTTTCTTGGCTGCTCATTTAAATGCTGTTGGCTAGTGTACTAACTCAAAGTTCTTACTCTTCTCAAGAGCGAGGTACACCTGGAGTCACATTACTTTAACCAACCCTTAGTGCTCACATCCTCTCCCAGAAGATCTGTCTTTCCGTTAGCGCTATTTTAGCGCAGAAAAAGAATTTAGCATAGATGAGCTATCATTATCAGACTTCTTTTCTAACTACAGTGCTACAAAGCAGTGACAAACGTATTCACAACATTCCACAAATTATACCTCCATTAGGCTGCCCAATGTTAGGATCAAAACCCTCCGAAGAGTTGTGTCTTCTGCGATTTGCCTCATAACGATTCTCTGTCCATGAAAAATTTTCAGAATGTTTCTCAAAATTCAGCGATGACTGTAAAGAAGCACAAGTGGCAGACTTGAGATCTGCTTAATAGCATAACTGAATCATCAGAGCTGGAACATGCACATTGTTCACAGTATATACAATCAATTTTTTGAGGAACTTTGAATGACAAACAATGCAGCAGTCTTTGAGTATGCACATGTTCAGAGCTATGTTGCCATCTCTCATGCTGGCAAAGTGGAAGCTGTATCTTCTGCTCCAGGACACTGAAACAGCACTGAGGACTACGCTTGTGACAGAAGGTAAAAACCCTAAGTCTCTATTTTGTTTTGGCAGCAGAACAAAGCACAAATGACGTGTGTTGTAGCAGAGGAAAAAAATAAGAGAAAAGGTAAGAAACAACAGAGGATCACAGTTTGAAAGGCATGAAAAGTCTGGGATCTCAATTTGGATTTTCAGAGACCACACGTGCATTCCATAGAAAGCGAGGCGTCACTTCCACCAGAAGCAGCTGTATCCAAAAGAAGCCAAATTAATTAGTCTTGTCATTATAACTTAATATGGCAAATACAGCCAGTTATGAAGTACAAATAAAACCTAGAGGGAAAAGTGTACAAATTCACAAAGATACTTAAAATTTTCAGCTTATAAATAGGTATATAAGAAATTTTTTAAAAATTAATCTTTAATGTATCAGTAGGAAGACTTTATAAACGAAAACCTTATTTTGAGGAATGGCACTCAGAAATCAAACCACATCCAAACTAGAATTCATAACTAAAGAGATTAAACAAAAAAAACATCTTGTCTTACACAACCCATTTTCCTTATAACTTCTGTCTGGCTGTACCTTTTTAACACTCCACCGTTTCTTTTGCTGCTACATGTTGAAAATTCAAAACTAACTTCACTCTGCAGAAGTAATGCTGATCCCTACTGCTTTCCACAGATATTCACCAGTGACAGACAGCAGAGGGCTGTGCTACACAGCACCTCCCTCACGCATAGCCACCTTTGATGCAGAGGAACTAAAGCCCCTTTCCCTCCCAGCAGACTTACTGTGCTGCACACATACAAGAGATCCAGCACCTCCCAGGGCCACAAGAGGTACAAATACATAAAAGCACTGCTGGGTGGAAATATGCTTACTGACAAAAAACTCAACAAGAGTTGGCAGTGTGCACTCACAGCCCAGAAAACCAATGAAATCCTGGGCTGCATCAAAAGCAGCACGGCCAGCAGGTCAAGGGAGGTGATTCAACCCTTCTACTCTGCTCTCATGAGGCCCCACCCTGGAGTACTACATCCAGCTCTGGGGTCCCCAGCATGCTAAGGACATGGAACTGTTGGAGCGAGTCCAGAGGAGGTCCACAAAGTTGATAAGGGGACTGGAGCACCTCCCTTATGAAGACAGGCTGAGAAGTTGGGGCTGTTCAGCCTGGAGAAGAGAAGGTTGTGTGAAGACCTCATTGCACCTTCCAGTATCTGAAGAGGGCCTACAGGGAAGCTGGAGAGGGACTCTTCGACAGGAACTGTAGTGATAGGACAAGGGAGAATGGCTTCAAACTGAAAAAGAGTAGGTTTAGATTAAGTATTAGGAAGAAATTCTTTGCTATGAGCATAGTGAGGGACTGAACAAGGCTGTCCAGAGAAGCTGTGGACGCCCCACCCCTGACAGCGTTCAAGGTCAGGCTAAATGGGCTTTGAGCAACCTGGTCTAGTGGAAGGTGTCCCTGCCCCTGGCAGAGGGCTTGAACTAGATGATCTAGTTGGGAAGGTCTCTTCCAACCCAAATCACTCTATGATTCCAGGGAGTATTGACTTTGCTGCACCCAAAGTACCAACTCCGCTGCCTGAAGCTCACTCCCTCTCCTCAGCAACATTCAGGAGAAAAGGTACAACAGTAATGGTGAAAATGAAAGCTCCAAGTTTATTTCCACAGTTATTACCCAGTAACATCTAATCAAGCTATATTAGTATTAAAAGTACTCCACTGATCAAAGTGAGCAGGAAAAAAAAAAACCACACAAAAAAGGAAATCACAGTAAGAGGCTTCACCACTTTGGAAAACATTGAAGAAAATTATTTCCTTCTTCCCATCTCTCCCACAGAGACAATCACACACACAAAAAAGCATATCCATATTCTACTGACAATGCCCCTGCAGAGCTCAAGGTGTTGTTCAAAATTCACTTCTTAAAATTTAAACTCAAATAAGCAGATATGTTGAAAACTCAAAGCATGTATTTCCAAATGGAACAGAATTCAAATGTAAAGGGACTGCCCGCTCAATTTGAGACCTGAGAAGTGAATTACTTGACAAACTTGGAGAGAGAAAGAACAGAAAACTGCAAAAAACTATCAAAATATTTAAGTATTTCAAAAATTACCAAATTAATCTAAATATTTAAGTAAAAAATAAACAGATTTTGAATAAGCTGCCAAAAATTTCATAAGGTTCCAGATCTGCCAATCATAGGTGAAATTTTAGAAGATAGCTTCATGTGTACATTTACATAAAACAACAATCTAATATTGCCTTTGGAGTTTAATTTTCGTTTTTTCATAGTACCTTCAAGGAACAATCAACATTTTCACAAAGTATAACTGACAGCATTTTATATATAGTGTTCAAGTTGTACATGATACAATAAATCTGAAGCCTCTAAAATGTGTGCAAAGATCATGCAGTTTGCGTTTTCCCCACACGATGGAGGTACCAGGCTAGGAAGCATCTTGTGGCAGAGATAACAGTAAGCTTTGTAATCAAAAGAAATCTGATGGTACTTTCTGGAAGTTGAGAAACTGTCTTACTTGGTTCAGCCAGCCAAGAAAAAGGAAAAGAAGGAGCACAGATTTTTAGAAGCATAAAAAGTCTTACTGCTTAACAAGAAGTAAAAGTGAACTTGCAAAAATGGAGTTTATTTGTCTGCAATCTCCTCATACACTCTTTAGAGCAATACTTTCTTCAAAGTTTTGTCCATATCCCAAAATGGCTTCACTCTTCACACCACCTTCCAATTTTCACCTGCCCATCTGCAATAGTGCACCGACACAAATACAGTAGTTCCACACCCAAACAAAACCTGCTGAGTGATGGGTACCCACCTATCTAGGTGGATTTTGCTCTGTCAGCAAAGAGATGACAAAAAAGCTTGTTAAGAGGCAATCAGCAGCAATACATAGGATAGATTTCAGTCAAGCTGTAATCTGTATTGTCACATTAGAAAGCTCCTTCTCAATCACAGCCTCCTGGCATTGGGTTTTTATAAGCTAGCCTTAAGCTACGTAAGGAAAAAAGTCTCAGGTACCAAGGATTGAGGAGGGAAACCAAGCTTCTGTAGGTGCAATTCCTGAAAGTGCTTCTTCAGGAAAATAAAAATTGATTGAGAAGAGTTCACTTTCTCCTTCTCAAGTTTAAATGTTGCTGATATCATAGGCTTGCCCCAGCTCTATTCTGCATGCAACATGAGACACCTTGCCTTCCTCAACCCATCCTTCCTCTTCATCTCTATTCTTCTTATCTGCTCTTCTCTTCTGCTTTGTTGACATAGAAAATAAATCTATTTTAGGAAATGGAGCGGATAGGGGACCACAACATTTGAGACCTGTCTTGTACAGAGCAATGACAAGTCTTATTCTGTAAACTAAGAACTACTACATATAAGAACAAACTTAATTGTCAAGTGCTTATTATCCAAATGTGCTGTATATCACAGAATGTTGATCACTGAGGAGGGAGTTAATGCAGGGAAATAAGGTGCATTCCCAACAATGACACACAAATACTACAACTGAGTAAGCATACAGCATGGAGTTCAAGAGAAGGAAGTTCAACTAAACTAATTTAGGCAAAGAATCACGAAAGAGAACAGGATCCACAACATATACTTGTAATGTAATTTCACACAATTCAGGAATGAGGTGACAAATATAACCAATAACTCGGACATATGCTAGTGGTACTGGAGTAGTTCTGAACGTTACTTTTATCCTGCGATATTGACACATATCAACATTTACAACACATTAAATTGAAAAAATCAGATCAAAAGAGTTGAAAGCATCAGAAATTATGTAGAATGAAAACAGACTCCATGAACCACCATGGAAGAGATATGCCTGATGTTCCCAGAAAAGCAACCAAGTTGCTAATAGATTATCCTAAACTAAGCATCTAGCCAGGTCAGAGTAGAAGCGCATAAAGAGAGCAAAAGAAATAAGGACATTAAACAACTTGATTAAAAAAAATGCACGGGTGTTAAGTGTGTGTAGACATACATAAGCAAAGCATTAGGAACACAGCTAATGCTGCCAGCTATCTGTGAATTTAACAACACCATAAGCCTATTACCATAAATTTTTCAAGCCTAAGCACTTTTCATGGACATGAAAGACTGCATGAAACTACATATAAATACACTAAAGAAAGGCAAACCCATTCTCACAGCAATAGATATTGCATTCAAGAGATTATAATGAAGACAGGTCTACAACTAGGGAAACAGATTACAAGAGTTTTAATACCCAGTGCTGACTCTGCTTCTGCATTTGCATGAATTAAAAAAGAGTAGAAAGACAGGCCAGGAAAAAAGAAACATTCCCAGGACAGACATACTCAAGATGTCCATACAAATCCTAGCAATTCGGAGGTTGTTATTTCTTGTTTCCAAATTAACTGTCCCATTATATAAAGTAATAGTAGTTCAAATGAAACAACCAGAGTGAAGATGCACAACAGTTTGAAAGGGCCACACTCCATCAGTAGCAACAAGCATCCCACTATGCAGAGCCACTTCAGATAATATAAAAAAACATTTTTTTTTAATCACTTGGATGATAGAATAACAGTTCTGCAAAATTTATAGGACACACAGAAAAGTCAGAAGCAAGAATATCAAGTACATGCCTCTGCCTTGGTACTTCTAGCAAAGAATACAGTAATTCACTTTAAACTCCTGATTAAGGCAATCTTAAGCCAACCACAGCTCTGACAAGGCCAGGCATGTGCTTCTATCCACAAACTCAGCTGCTCAAGCAAAGAACTCTATGATACAACTACTTAAATCACGACAACAAAACTTGCCAGATATCATCTATCACCACCCTTTTCATGAAGAGGTTTTTATTGTGAATGAGGTTATGACATTTACTTCCCAAATAATGGGAGTGCCTGCTCAAAAGAAACATACCTTTGTTGATGATGGTGGAGTAGGAAAATTAAGCCAGGCTGGAGCAAAGTCATGCTGCGCCATTTAGGTCCAGTCTCATTGAATCAATGGAAAAAGGCTTAGCACCTCATGGCAAGTCCCTGCAAACAGAAGAACAAGAAATGGAGTACTTCCAGATGTTACAAGAGGAGTAAACTTCTTGTGCTTTCATCTGTATTTCCCTTCTTTTTTCCAGTATTATTTTCTCACACAGATATGGTTCAGAATCTAACTACCCTCGTCTCGTTTATAGCATCACATTTGTGCTTTTATTACTAAAGTGTCACACAAATCAAATATATCGCAGGAATCAGGAAAATACAAATGTAACATTCCTTTCATTACTTCCTCTTATAAATTGGATGAAGTTTCTTGTGTAAGGTCTGACCCAGAACGCTATGGCAAAATTAGCGTGTTACAATACTTCCTGGTAATATCCAGAATAGCTTTCAGGAGCTATTTCTTCAGCTTCCTAGAAGCTGATTTTTTAATTAGTCCCTAAAAGTTAGTCTCAGAGGCCATATTAAAGTTCCTTATGAAAAAACTAGATGCTTGGGACAACCACAAACCCCTCATTGTCTCTAGATTCAATGGAAACAGAGTCTACATACGCAAAGTGTCAAAATCCAGTAAAATTCTCCAGTTTGAAAATGGGCAAGAGAAAGTAATGGCTTAAGATTAAAACTCAAGAATACTTTTTCTACCTTATTCTCTTCCCACAGAGAAGAAAACATTTCTTAATAAGCAAGAGAATGTAAGGTAATATGAACTCTATTACCCAAAGCTGAACGATAGCACAGACAGGAAAGAAGTGGATGAAACACTGCCTGAATTATGTGAGGGTAACTGAATCATGCTCTGCAGCTAGTCATTGCAAAATGATCAATGATTCAAAAATAAGTATGATACACACTATTAGAACTTCATATGAATTTGTGAAAACATAATAAGCACCCACACACATTTCACATGAAGATCCAAATAAATGTGAGTGCAAATCTATTAGTCAGAAAGCACAGATGTAGCTCACTTTAATCTACGGCTGCTGTAATGTGAGTAAGAGCTGTGGAATCTGGTATACAGTAACCCATAATTATTGTTGTAATTATGGCCTGAACCAGGCTATTGCAGATTTCCAGTGACAGACAAGAATGTTCCAGCTTCTAACAGATTTGTTAGACTTTACTTAGTGTTAAACTGCACTTAGTTGAGCATCTTTTTGATGACACGAGCTCATACTTAGGTTTTTAGGTACTTCCAATACCAGAGCTAAACTTTAAGGTAAGATAGACCATTACTGTCATTAAATAGAGAAGACAAGGTTATAAAGGTATGTCTCATCCAAATAACTCACTATAAATTACTCTGCTGAAGTCATCTAACACTCACTTCAAAACTAATCTCACCAAAAAATCCAGAGAAATTTTCTAAATATTCCAGTTACGTCGAACTAGTGAAAACCAAATGAAGAAAGTTCTGGAGTCAATGAACCATCACAGAAGTGGCTCCTCTTTCTCACAGGAATCACGTTCACTTTTACTGATATATCCTACTCAGCAATAGTATAGAAAACAGATGAAGCAATTAACAAATCTGAGCAAATGCCAGGAAGAAAAAATTTTCTTCTCCTTCCCTCAGATACAGTTCTTATCCTCCAAGTACAAGAATCGGGAAATCTTTAGAGAGGATCAAGACAGGCATCAATACTGAAAGATCAGCACAAAAACAACGAAATCTTCAGACCAAGGCACTTACAGTCCAAAAAGCAATGAGTAAGATTAGATTTATACCAATTAAAAACATAACAAAGATTCCACAAAGTACTACCAAGTTACTGGTGCCTCAGCTATGAGGTACAGGACAACAAATGCCCTAAAAATCTGATTTCTTAACAGACTGATCTTACTCTTTTTAGGAAACTAGTCAAGCTTCCTAACACTACTGATGCAACTGTCATGAGAAACATTCATTATTAACTCACTAACATCCCTATCTTTTACCCTTTGCACAAAAAAACAAGGATTCAGGAAAGATTTGGTGATCACCAAGCATCCAAGGACTGGAAAGGTGTTTTTAGACAAGCTTTTCCCACAGCTCACTGACACTGGGTGTCTATGTCTTCATGCAACAATTATTCTAGAAGCAGATCAAAGTCTTCCTCACATTTTCAGCTAAAAAAGCTCTAGAAAAGTTTTTGATAGTGCTGCTCTGTCAGAGAAGTCAATCCTTTTCCTAAAAAGCAATATAATGAAAAGGTAAGGACAGAGGCCTGGGCCAAAACTCACACTCAGAGCACAAAATCAGCAGCAGAATATCTGTAAATTTCAATAAGCCCATAGAAGAAAAACTCTCCTAGAACTAATTCTTCCAAATAGTTTTAATAAAAGAACCTCAAGAACAAAAGCACAAATGTTTTTCTAGAACATTACCTGACCAAATTCACAGATTTACAGACTAACAAGAAAAACAACTCCTGTGAATACTAACCTCCACACCAAAGTCAAGAAAACACTTTCTTTCATCTAATTGTACATATGATTGGTCTGGCAATTAGACATGGGAACACAGAGTACTTTCATTATTAAATCTTTCTAACTCTAAAAAGGCACAAACACCCCAGGAGTAATTAAATAACAAACAGCAGGTCAGGAATAGTTATTTTCTTACAACTTCTCTAGAGTACATAGCCTACACAGCTTAAAGTTGACAGTTCCATATTTTACCAGCTTCATTAACAACTCTTACAGATGTTTTCTGATGTTGTTAACAAGTTCATCCTAGAATGTCTTTTAATAAAAACCAGTTTCATTAGAAGCATGATCTCTGTTTAGATGATCAGACACATCTCTGATAGCTCTTGAATACTTTTCCTTCTAAGGAAAGAATTTTTGATAAATGGTAAACAGATCACCAACTTTAAGAATTGGAAGTCAGGTAGCTCTGCTCCCACATACAGGATTTACTATGCTTAAACCCCTCATGATCAGCTTAGTTGCCCACACTAGTGTGTTCCTTGCTTGCTTTCCAACTTAAGTTGGACCAACAACCGAGTCTAGCAAATTATTGTGCAACACATTTGAACTCTGGAGAAGTTCCTTCTACCAATTCTGAGCCAGGGTTTTTTTCCTGTTATTCAGGCCCGTTACTTCAGCTACCCCAAGAAATCAGAGACATATCTGCATTTTGTGTCCTCCAAAGCACTTGCAACCTTTATTAAGATTCATATTATCAACAAATTTAATAAATGTACACTTTATTTCATGACTGAAGTTATTAATAAAAATACTGAAGGGACTTCTTAAGCAATTTGCTTGATAACATATTTCCAGCTAGACATCAAACAACAGCTCCCTTTACAAAGACTGGGGAGACACTAAGGCACATGGTTAACACTGATCAGCAGATTACTTCCAAAAAACACCCCTGCCTTGAAGAATCATAGAATCAACCAGGTTGGAAAAGATCTCCAAGATCATCAAGTCCAACCTTGATCCAACACCACTGTGGTTATTAGACCATGGCACTAAGTGCCACATCCAGTCTCGTCTTAAAAACCTCCAGGGACAGTGAATCCACCCCCTCCCTGGGCAGCCCATTCCAATGCCTGATTACTCCCTCCGTAAAAAATTTCTTCCTAATATCAACCCAAACCTCCCCTGGCACAGCTTAAGATCATGCCCTGTTGTCCTACTGCTGGTTGACTGGGAGAAGAGACCAACCCCCACCTGGCTACAACCTCCTTTCAGGGATCTGTAGAGAGTGCTGAGGTCTCCCCTGTGCCTCCTCTTCTCCAGGATAAACAACCCCAGCTCCCTCAGCCTCTCCTCATAGGACTTGTGCTCGAGTCCCTTCACCAGCCTTGCTGCTCTTCTCTGGACCTGCTCCAGCACCTCAATATCCTTCCTGAACTGAGGGGCCCAGAGCTGGACACAGTACTCCAGGTGTGGCCTCACCAGTGCTGAGTACAGGGCAAGAATCACTTCCCTGGTCCTGCTGGCCACACTGTTCCTGACACAGGCCAGGATGCCATTGGCCATCTTGGCCACCTGGGCACACTGCTGGCTCATGTTCAGCTTCCTGTCAATCCAAACTCCCAGCTCCCTCTCTGTCTGGCTGCTCTCCAGCCACTCTGTTCCCGAGTCTGTAGCACTGCATGGGGTTGTTGTGGCCAAAGTGGCACTTGGCCTTATTGAATCTCATCCTGTTGGAATCAGACCATCTCTCCAGCTTGTCCAGGTCCCTCTGAAGAGCCCTCCTGCCTTCCAGCAGATCAACACTCCCCCCCAACTTAGTGTCATCTGCAAATTTGCTAATGGTACACTTGATCCCCTCATCCAGATCTTCAGTGAAGATATTAAACAGAACTGGGCCCAACACTGATCCCTGGGGGACACCACTAGTGACCGGCTGCCAACTGGATGCAGCCCCGTTCACCACCACTCTCTGGGCCCGGCCCTCCAGCCAGTTCCTAACCCAGCACAGAGTGCCCCTGTCCAAGCCATGGGCTGCCAGCTTTTCCAGTAGCATGCTGTGGGAGACGGTGTCAAAGGCTTTGCTGAAGTTCAGACAGACCACATCCACAGCCTTCTCTCTTAGGCGGGTCACCTGCTCATAAAAGGAGATCAGGTTGGTCAGACAGGACCTGCCCTTCCTAAACCCATGTTGGCTGGGTCTGATCCCCTGTCCTCCTGTAGGTGCTGTGTGATTGCACTTAGGATGATCTGCTCTATAACTCAGTCAGGCACTGAGGTCAGGCTGATAGGCCTGTAGTTTCCCAAGTCCTCCTTGCAGCCCATTTTGTGGATCAGCATGACATCTGCCAATTTCCAATCATTTGGGACCTCCCCAGTGAGCCAGGACTGTTGCTAAATGATGGAGAGTGGCTTGGTGAGCTCTTCCACCAGCTCCCTCATCACCCTCGGGTGGATCCCATCTGGTCTCATAGACTTGTGAGGATCCAGATGGTGCAGCAGGTCGCTAAGTGTTTCTTCCTGGATTACAGGGGGGCTATTTGGCTTCCTGTCTCTGTCTACCAGCTCCAGAAGCCAGTTGTCCTGAGGATAACCTGTCTTACTGTTGAAAACTGAGGCAAAGAAGGTGT